TCCTTGTGAAGCTGCAAAACGGAGAGGAAAGAGTGTCGCATATGCTACTCGCACTCTTTCGAGAGCTGAAATATATTATTCGGTGACGTTAAAGAATGTCTGGCGGTAATATGGGCCATACAGAAATTCCGACCGTACTTATATGGTAGACCATTTCGAGCAGTGAGCGACCATCACTCACTGTGCTGGCTCGCAGGCCTAAAGAACCCGTCTGGGCGAGTTGCTAGATAAAGCCTCAGGTTGCAAGAATACGACATAACAGTCGTATACAAGTCGGGCCGCAAGCACAGCGATGCTGATTGCCTCTCACGCGCACCAATGGAATCTGCACCTGGGGAAGATGGAGACAACTTTCCGTTTCTTGAAGCCGTCAGCACCGCAGACAAGACGGAGTATCAACGCTCGAGTTTTCGTCCAGGAATTATCCTCGTACCTGATGAGGAACAACGTTTTATACAAGAGAAACTTCGAGTACAGCAGGGAGAAATCCCTACACGTCGTTCCTTCGTCCTTCCGACCCAAAATCCTGGAAGCCTGCCACGATGACCCAGCAGCAGGACACCTCGGAGTGAGTAGAACATTGGCTCGCATCCGCACCAAGTACTACTGGCCAAAGTTACTGGATGCTGTACAGCATTACGTAAGGACATGTAGAGATTGCCAGAGACGCAAAACGTTTCCATTAAAACCTGCAGGATTTCTCCAACCAATTGAACCACCTGAATCTCCGTTTGAACAAGTAGGAATGGATCTACTTAGTCCATTTCCTACGGCATCATTGGGCAACCGATAGATAGTAGTGGCGACAGACTACTTAACTCGCTATGCCGAGACAGCCTCTCTCACCAGGGACACAGATATAGAAGTCGATGAATTTTTCGTCACTAACATTGTACTACTGCATTGTACTACGGCATGGTGCCCCAAAGATGGTTATCTTGGATCGAGGAACTGCATTCACAGCCTATCTGACGCAGTCTATTATGAAACTTACGCACACATGCCATAGGAAAACAACGGCTTACTACCCCCAAACGAATGCGCTAACCGAGCGACTCAACAGAACTCTAACCAATACGTGGGACAAGATACTGCCGTACGCCCCTTTCGCTTATAACACTGCTGTGCAGAAGATTACTAAATTGACGCTATTCCAGCTAGTCTATGGTCGAATAGCTACCACACCATTAGATGCGATGCTACCTGTAGGCGACAATACAGAGCACAAGTCTGACATCAGCGAATTCATTCGGTGAGCCGAAGAAGCACGGCAGTTGGCGCGACATCACACAAAACAACAACAACGCGTGGATGCAAACCGTTACAACCTTCGGCGGAGAGGAGTCGACTGCACACCAGGCGACCCAGTTTGAATTTGGACTCCCGTACGGACGCCTGGCCTCTCCGAAAAGCTCAAGCGCCGTTATTTCGGCCTTGCCGAGTCCTTCGTCACGTCAGCTCCTTGACCTACGAGGTGTCACCGGAAGGACAAGTGAGCTCATCAAGATGCCGAAGGAGCACAGAAATCGTGCATGTATTCAGAATGAAGCCATGCTATGACAGGCAATGAACATCGAATTATACACACCCGATTATGAGGAATACCTATTTCTCCATTGGAAATCACGCATTCAGACCATCTCAGCAACACTGCTTTTACGCATCGGGATGATGCGTTCTTGGAGAAGGGATAATGACGCAAGGCAGACGCAGTACTCAAACTACGCGCGCTAGTTCATGCGCCCCCCAAGAGACCAGCGGCCCGGTGATGAAACAAGAAAACGCCTTGACGGCGCACGCCCCCTCAGGGCGGGATTTTGATGAAAAAGAAGTGGTGCACCGCTCGAGGGCTTCTCGGAGATTGATCCCTTTCGCTGATCGCCTGTTAGAAACGCCACTACATTTTCCTTTACTTTTCGAGCACAAGTTAGCCCTTATAAACAGTTATTCTTACACCATTGGATTGTGCGTATATATATATATATATATATATATATATATATATATATATATATATATATAGCTTCTGTCGTGCTTTCTTTTCTACCCTCACCTCATATTCATTCAATTACTTTAATCGGAAAATCAAAACTTTCCGTAAGTTTAATGTCCATTGTCAGCAAATCGCTAATCGCATGGTCACGCATACATCAGTGAAATTAACAGAATTTAAACAATTAGGGTTACGACTGAAATGACTGAAATCATACATCTTTTAGTGGCGTAGGGTCAAGTTAAGGCGCTTTCAAATCTTTCAAGTCGAGATGACATGTTAGCAACAGCTGAGATGAAACGAGCAGAGCAGTTGGATGTCGACACTTCAACTGAGACCTTGACAACAGCCTAGAATTTACACGCTTCAAACTTTTTTGTTTTGTCACAATACTTGAAAAAAAGCAGCTGACATTGAACTTAGATCCAGTGCCTTCATTTATGAGCTAGTATACTACGATAAAAAGGTCGCATTTAAAAGTTGTTGTGTGTTTAGAAAAAGCTTTCAACGATTTCAAGTACATCGTACTCAACTGCCTTAGATGAATAATCAAGCTACAGTAAGTCTGAAAATGCTCACTTCACGGCACCGATAGCCATATTATTATGGTTACACATGTGGCATCAGCTATATTATTCTTTGACGTCATTGTGTATCCGTGTTCGTGGCGGTATAGCGAGGACAAAGTAAACTGTTGTCCTAGCGTTGTTAAGAGTGCCACATCGCTTTACTCAAAGCGTAAGTAATCAAATAACAATTTGACAAAGCACCCCCGCCGCGGTGGTCTAGTGGCGAAGGTACTCGGCTGCTGACCCGCAGATCGCGGGTTCGAATCCCAGCTTCGGCGGCTGCATTTCCGATGGAGGCGGAAATGTTGTAGGCCCGTGTGCTCAGATTTGGGTGCACGTTAAAGAACCCCAGGTGGTCGAAATTTCCAGAGCCCTCTACTACGGCGTCTCTCATAATCATATGGTTGTTTTGGGACGTTAAACCCCACATATCAATCAATCAATCTGACAAAACATTTGAAACCATGTTCTTGACGAAAATTTTCAATTAAATTATGCTTGCAATGTAAAATACGTACCTAATTATAACATCCAATGACCGCAAAAAACACTGTTTATACCCTTTCAATGTAAGCTAATACCAAAACTTTGTCCGCCAATACAAGCGTACCATGTGTCTGCCACTAACGCACTGCTTTTTTCACAAAGCTAGTGAGCTCTGCAATCGTTTTGTCTTGTCTGAAGCTAGTGAGTTCTGAAATAGTTTGTCTATCGCTACCGCACCATTGCCCGATGTTGTGTAAAACGTACCGCACGTGCAAAGACCTCAGAAATGGAGGCTTTTGTTACGCAGGTATACCAAAATATTGTTCAGTTTTAGAATTTCGGCAGCCCCAAGTGTCCCCGCGATAATCTTTTGCTTTTGTCACCCCTCCCCCCCTTTTATAGAATCATCTTCTTGCTCAGGAAGTGGCTGAATCGCGTGACGTAGCCCTGAAAAGTGGCCATCGTATGAAGTATCAATGGATTCCAGGACACTGTGACCCACATAGAAATGAGCGAACCACTGTTTATTGTGTACAATGATGGCTCTCGGTAACGCCGCAGTATTGACTATTTCGTTTTCACGACCAGATACCAACTCAGTTGTGTGCACACTCCTCCAAGAAACTACAGCAGCATATTGGTCCTCACCAAGTCACCATCACTCCTGTCTTCACGAACTTGACCCAAATAAACATGTTAGACTACCAACAACCATGAAAAGAGGCAGTACAAGCTTATTTCACAAGTTACGATTAGGTGTTACATTTGCTAGTCGCTTTCTATACCTTAACGGCCGTGCAGACAGCCCTAATTGTGAGGCCTGTGGCACCCCTGAGACAACTGAATGTATCTTGTGTGTCTGCCCACGATATATTGCGCAAAGAAATTTGATGGCCACCGTCTTCATAAAATGTACCAAGCCGCAAGTTTCCGAACAATTTCTGTTGGAACCACCACCTCGTCATCAGCACAATATTTTGAAAGTGCTGACCGACTTTTTGATAGATACAGAACTCGACAACAGACTATAAATGATCCAAGGTCTTGCTTCATTACCACTTTCCTCATAATCATTAACATCTTCCCTCTCTTCGTTATTTTGCACCTTTCCCTTCCCTAACGCTCAGTAGCAGGCTAGAACACAGATTCAGGCTGACCCCTAAGCTGTTCTGCATCAATAAACATTGCTCTTCTCTGCTTACATTACTTGTTAGTGCCATCAGTGTAAATGAAAGATTTGTGTTATTCGACATTCCGAATATATGTTCGGCACATGAACAAAAGGCGATAATATTTACACTGCGTAAAATTGGGCACACGCACGCAATCAACGCAAAAAAAAGCAACCGTCCAGGATGAAGTCCTTCAATATTTCATTTCATTCTTGTTAAGTCCGGGCCAGAACATTATAAAAAGGTGCGTTTGATGAAGATAGGATAACATTTGCAGTCACTTGACAAAATGCAGTCAAAACAAAATGCTGTCAAATGCAGTCAAAACAAAATGCAGTCACTTGACAAACGAAAAAACACAACATTGAAACAAGGCTGCTTCTTAGGTTCTTTTACTTGAAGTAACAGCACGTCTTCTCCACTGCGGTACGTACCCGTCTTTTGTGAACGTTTCTTTCTTGTAGTTGCCATGAAACGATACAGCTCTTCAGCGTGTAAAGGTCACATCAAGAATTTTTTAATGTCTAACGTACGTCCGAGCAGCGTGTCAGTGCCCCTTGAAAATGGATCTCACCGCAGCAAGAACAAACCAACTGACGTGACATTAATTTCCCAACTGGTAGGTGCTGACTCATTACATTTAAGAAGTTCTGCATTGAATGCAATTTAGAAAAAACATCCTGTCTGCTACAGATCCTGTTCTCTTTTATTATATTGCTGTTCTATTTTATTATAGTCACATTGGCATTTCTCTTATTGGAGAATGCCTGTTTCTAGTGTGTCGCGCTCACAGTTGGTCTCAAGATGGAAATACATGTTCTGAACTGATAAATCGCTTATGATTGTGCATTGACGAAGTTTAGAAGCATGAGCAAGGCACTGCTTAGACTTCTTCAATGGAGCGCCGTTTTCGGTAATTATATCTGGTATTACTCAACCTAGTATACACCTATATACACTGTGAAAGTTAAGGAGTATGCACAATCATATCTATAACTCTGGCTTCATGTAACCTCTGTTATCACGGGCTCTTGAAATAAGTATGTACACGTTGACCAATAATATCTTCCGAGGCGTCCCCAGTGAATTTAGATAAAGATCTTTACAATCAGATTGGTTAACTACGTAAAAAACGCGAAAGAATGCGCAGTTATCTTTATAATAAATTTCAAACTTATTCAAAGTCTATGGTTTTTGTATGTGTAATTAATTGGTCAGATCAATACTAAGTAACGCATACACAACAGTCTTTTTCTTCGGAAACTTTTTGATTGACATTCATCTTTGACAATGTTAGACAAGAAGCTCGTGATGAATTAATTACCCTTCGTTAAGAATTGCACAAACTCTTCTCTGCATGCTAACCACAATCAGTATATGTCTTTGTTGTTTGGTTGCCTTATTTTCGTCCCAGAATGTTTCCAGATGCTTTGACGGCAGCAGTCATTCCCACCACGTTAAATATATTGAGGAATAAAAAAACCGCCAGGCCCGTGCGAAGCGCGTAGGAAAGTCACAGCGAAAGCTCGAACAGCAGCCTTTCAGAGCCTTTTCTAAAACTCTTTGGGTAACTGCTACAAGCGCACTTGCTGGCACACTCCACCATAAAGCGCACTCCACCATAAATAAGCATGATTTTTTGTAGTAGGCGGGTAATCATTATGTTATCCTTCATCATTCTTCGGAGAAGTTTGGTATTCGCTACACACTTGCAAGCATTTTTGTGGAAATTTTTCATGCAGTGGCTGACGACGATGAAGGATTATGACTGAAGTGGATAGCGCCACTGTTATTAGGCTTTCAAAAACAAGCTTTTGGGATGGTTTTTAGCATTGGACAACCCCCTTGTTACGTAATTCGCATTGCGTGACGCCTAGTTGTTCTTTTGCTGTTCTAAAACGCTTCATAACTCGTATTAACGCGATTACTTTCCGGACATCAAGCCTGCCTAAGGCAAGCTTTCGAGGTAGGCCCAAAAATCGGCCTGGCTCAGTGGTATGATAGTGGGGATACGCAGCAGACTCAGATTCAAGCCCCAGTTTGTGCCATGTACTAAGTTTTTTTTTATTTCGTAAGATAGAGGTTACAAACACCGGCAGCGGCGTCGACGGTCAACTATGGCACCACGAGTGACCAGAGTTGAGGTCTAAGAACACCTTTGACCGTAAAAATCACACCATCTACCGCCAAAGGGAACCATGCAGAATTCGAATGAGCAGGCGCTCACGGTTATACTGGCGGCAGCCTTGACACTGGCTCTACAATGACGGCTTTGCGCGGGATCGAAACGTGGGGAGGCGGAAAGCACGTAGTGATGGGCTGGTGTTCTCTACTGCAACATGCCAATTTCTCCTAATGGGAAATGCCAAACCGAAGACTCCGACTGGACACAGAGACCCGCAGCCCGCAGCCGCAATTTTTAAAATTTGGAGGATTTCTTTGTCGCACGATGTCGCACTTCGACGTTGGCGCCGTCCCCAGCCCCATAGCGTATGTGCGACTCTCTTTGTTTTCTCTCTCTAATAGCTGTGCCTTACTCTCTCCACTTCTGTTTTACGCTCCCCTTGTGACCTTGCAACGCCGACGCAGGGCACGTTTGCTAACGCACGCTAACCACACTGCCACTGCACATACGCCCTCTGTTCTCTCTCTCCACTCTTACGCTTTCCCACTCTCTTCCCTTGCAACGCCGACGCAAGCAGCGTCAGCTAGCGAGTTTCTCGATATGAAAAATCGGCCCAGTATGTGTATGTTTCACTGCAAATGTCATCGAAAGACAATATTTTTGCGTCTGGAGACAATGAACAATGCGTTTATTTGATGTTCTGCGCGAGAAAACTGGTGACTTGTATTCTGGAGGCTCTGCGTTAGAGAGTCTCGATCCGAGCAGAAAAGGCGAAGGAACGCATCGAGGTAAGTTAGACACGAGCCCTATATATTGTCACGATGAGTCACAAGTACTGGGGGATTTATTAAACCACCAGGTAGCTAGCACTAGGACGGTGCGTCAGTCGTGGCTGGCTCTCAAGCAGAGAAGAAGCACGCGATCTTCTTTTTTCTCCAGATTGAGAGCCGCTCTTGCTGTCAACCCACTACGTGCTGGTGGCATTATCCCCCCTTCCGAAAAGAAAAAAAAACAAGTACCAAAAAGAGGAAAGGAAAGTACATAGCAGCACCGCGATGCTACTACATAGGCACGTGAAAAAAAAAAATTGCCCGCAGCTTCCCTCGGGGGAACACTGAGGAGGATGCGGACCATATAATTGGTTAACGGGGTGTTAAAGTGCGACTTACTTGGGTCGATGGCTAAATTGGTTAACGTGGTTGTAGGAGGGGGTGTTAAATGAGTGAACACGTACACACGTATGCGAAAGGGCGGCGCTGGTCGAAGGGACGTCGATCATTGTGTTTGTGGATTCGTTGGAATTCATTTCACCGCGACCTTGGACGTCGACGCGCCGTACAAACCAACCGACGAGCGGCAACTGAGCGAGCGAGCGCCGACCTTGAGTATATATACAGCACGACGGTGCATGCACTGTCAGCTGTTGAATGTTCTCGAAGCGCGACGCCACATGCGCGTCCACTGGAGAATCAGGAGAATTGTAGATGTCGAACGCGGTGTGTAGAGGAGGAAGGGTGCACAGATGGTGGAGGAGTGAAGCGCGCGCGGTGTGGAGAGGAGGAAGGGATGCACAGATGGTGGAAGAGTGGGCGACGGCGCGACGGCGCATGCGCGCGCGTCAGCTGTCGAATGTTCGAGAAGCGGTGCGGACGGCGCACTACAAGGCGCGAGTATAAGATGCTCCGCATCTAAAAAAATTGAAAATTCGGATAAAGTGAAAGTAAAAATTGAAGAGCGTGCCAATATAGGAAACGTCAATGAACGAGAAAGTAAGTTCACAAAATAAACAAAAACACAAAGAACGCTGTACGGTAAAGGAAAAGTTACGAACAACGCGCAATAAATGGTTTCATGCGCAACACATGAACGACGTCCGGCCTCAGCCGTGTCCTGCTCCGTGCATGGGGTGTTGAGTCCGGAACCACTTCGTAGTTCACGTCACTGACGCGGCGTAACACTTTATATGGGCCAAAGTACCGGCTCAGCAACTTTTCACTAAGGCCACGGCGGCGGACGGGCGTCCACACCCAAACTTGATCTCCGGGGCTGTAAAACACTTCTCTGTGGCGGGTATTAGAGAAGCCGAAATGGCGTGAGAAGCCGAAATGGCGTGAGAAGCCGTAGAGAAGCCGAAATGGCGTGAATCGCGTGGTCTCTTGCACGGCGGTATTATACGCGAAGGTCACGTAAGGTAAGATCCGGTCCCATGTTTTGTGTTGTACGTCGATGTACATTGAGATCATGTCTGCGAGGGTCTTATTCAGTCGTTCGGTAAGTCCGTTGGTTTGCGGGTGGTACGCAGTTGTCCTTCGGTGTCTGGTGTTGCTCAGTTTGAAAACTTCGTCCGTAAGCTGCGCCGTGAATGCCGTCCCTATGTCCGTTATTATACTGGAAGGAGCACCGTGTCGTAACACGATGTGGCGCATGAAAAATTGTGCTACCTCAGAAGCCGTGGCTCGTGGGATCGCCTGGGTTTCAGCGTAGCGTGTCAAATAGTCGGTCGCGACGATCACCCATTTGTTGCTGTCCACAGACATAGGAAATGGCCCGAGAATGTCCATGCCAACTTGGTCGAACGGCGTGCAGGGTGCTTCAATGGGCTGAAGCAAACCAGCTGGCTTAACAGATGGTTGCTTTCGGCGCTGACATTCCCGACAGCTCTTGACGTACTTCTTTACGCTTGCTGAAAGTCCTGGCCAATAGTACCTCTCGCTCACTCTGGCAAGTGTCCTTGAGTAGCCCAGATGACCGGATGTGGGTTCGTCATGGCAAGCGAAGAGGACGTCGTCTCGCATGTCTCGAGGAACCACCAGGAGGTAAGCACGGTTGTTCGAACGAGCGTTCTTCTTGTACAGCACGCCGCCTCGCAGGCAGAACGACGTCAACGAGCGGGATAAATGACGTGGTATGATTGCGCCCTGGCCCTCTAAATGATCAATGATTGGACGAATCTCTGCATCATCTCGCTGTCGTTTGCTCAAGTCTGATGCACTAACGGCGCCCAGAAAGCCTTCGTCTTCCTCTGCTTCCTGACTGACGACATGAAGGGGTGCGCGTGACAGTGTGTCAGCGTCTTCATGCTTACGGCCGGACTTATGGACGATGGTGACATCAAATTCCTGCAGCCGCAAGCTCCACCGTGCTAGCCGACCTGAAGGGTCGCGCAGGCTTGCCAACCAACAGAGCGCGTGATGGTCCGTCACTATCTTGAAGGGACGACCATAAAGGTACGGGCGGAACTTGGTGATTGCCCACACGACTGCGAGGCACTCTTTCTCCGTAGTGGAATAATTCGCCTCAGCACGGGATAGAGAGCGGCTGGCGTAGGCTATCACTCTTTCGATGTCCTCTTGACGCTGAACGAGCACTGCACCGAGCCCAATGTTACTAGCGTCGGTATGGACCTCCGTGTCAGCATCATCGTCGAAATGAGCGAGAACGGGCGCTGATTGCATGCGCTGTCGCAGCTCATCAAAAGCTGCTTGTTGCTCGTTTTTCCAGACAAACGACGTGTCGTCCCTTGTGAGACGAGTCAGAGGTTCTGCTATCTGTGAAAAGCCATGAATGAATCGGCGATAGTAGGCGCACAAACCAAGGAAGCGCCGGACGGCTTTCTTATCGACAGGAGCTGGTAATTCGGCAACAGCGGCAAGCTTGTCCGGATCGGGACGGATTCCTTCGGCGCTAACTACATGTCCAAGAAATTTTAGTTCTTTATAGCCGAAGTGGCACTTCTGTGGCTTTAGTGTGAGGTCCGCCGATCGGATAGCCTCCAGCACGCTGCGCAG